TCGCTTCTGCTTTATTTAATGTTTTATAACCTAATATACCTATGTTTATGTTTTATGTTCAACAGGTGTAGACATATTTACATCTCTTGCAAGTCAAACGACTTTGCAATTAGATCTTTTTATCACCAAACTAGCATGACAGAGGCGAAGAAGGTAATATACGGTCTTTTAGTGAGGCAAACGTAAGAAAAAAACATTAAGAAAAACGATCATCATTACAGGTATAACGTTATTTAAATATTCCTGAAAAAAGTCGCCAAACTCTATTTCAAAGCTGATGGTCATGTTAATTACAAACTTCTTTTCTAAATGCAACAATCGTTTTAAAGTGTATGCATGATATGGTTAGTTACATACCCACATACCCAATTTATCTTCTATGTAATTTTATGATGATTATCATTTTGGGGATTCAATCGATGAAGCTATGACAAATCGAATGACGTTTAAATCTTGATGGTCGAGTACATGGTTTATGAGTTATTACCACTTAAAAAATTTCATTTATTTTTCGTGTACTTTCGCAATATTTTGGCTTCTTAGCGGAATTTCAAAGAGATTTCGAATCGAGTATTCCCATTTTCGCATTGATCAAGGATTAAGCTTTCAAATGAGATATTGTTCACCGAAATCGGCTCTCTGGTTATATTCAATATACATGTACTATACATGTAAAATCCTATCTAATTGGGGGCTACGTTCGCAAACATACACGTTAGAGATAACAAAAAAAACTGCATTTATGCTTTTCTTCATAACAAATTATATTTTAAGAGGTATTAATATACCTATGAATATATTTTTGAATTGTTGGTTTGTAACTTTATGAATGAATAAAAATTACGAATTTTATGTAAATCATCTCCCTTTTAGAATTAAAGCTATTCATAAATCTTCGTAATAGTATAACGCTAAATTTACAAAAATTTAGTTCTGTGCTGTTTTAAATAGTAAAATTCTTTCACAAAAAAATTAGATGAAATTTTGAAATTTTATGTGAACCGTAGCAATTAAAAATATAATTGGACGAATTGATAGGATTCGTTGATGTAAAATAACGAATAAAGGAATAGAATTTTAGAACTCAGCTTCAAATTTAGTACAATCAACATTGCGCAATTTAAAAAATAGCTGCGAGTTATGAAATGCATTACTAATTTTATCATGATTGCTTTTAATTTCGTTCTATGAATTGTCTATACTCTATGGAGTTGTAGTTTATCAGTAAATAGAGATATTTACATTTTAATCTGCATTAGTAATTATTAAATTATTACTTTTATTTTTGATAACGCGAATTGATTTATTTTATGTTTTATAATGATATTATTGTTGTTAATAAGAATTATTGTTTCCTCATCTTTTAAAGTTTCAAATTTTCCTTGAATTTTTCCTTAAACGTTGTGGATTGTTGTTTTAGTACTTTGTAGACCGTGCAAAATCAACGGGATTGAAATTGTATAGGAGAATGTAGGGATCACCGACCATTGAGTATTATCGACGGTTTGTACCGATTCAAATTCAGTTCCAAATCTACACCGAGTGTTAGTAAAGGGAAGCGCTGTTACAATCTCCTCAGTATATGATTTGCAAACTTTATATATTTAGTAAAACAATTACAAATTCTGTGCAATTAATGCGTCCAAAGAAATTAAAAGTTTGTTTCGAGAAGCGCCTGATATATTGCAGGTCCATACGCGACACTGTAAGATCTATTGAAACTCAAAAATATTAAGTTGTGTCATGATTTCATCATTATGGTTTCATTTATTCACTTCCACCAGTAGAAGAGTAATTCTATATAAGTATGAGAAAATAAATGAGATTTCCCGTAGATTTAACAACGAAATGAAACAGTTTGGCAATTTAATGGCTCATTTAACATTAAGAAATTAGTTATCGTATCTTTGATACTTGGATATAACTGCAGATTCTAATTTCAAATGGAACAAGCAAATCGGCTGTATAATAAGCTTTGTAGTCAACCACGTAGATTTAAAATTATAGAAAAGGAATGATAAAGGAATGTTAAAGCAATCACTCAATATAGAATTATTGTTTTGGGATTGTTACCGACAGCAATATTAAACCATTAAAGGTTCTGCAGATGACAATCATGAAAATGTTATTGAACAAGACAAACACTTGCTTATCTCTCTAACTTTAACGGGAGATAGCTGAAAGAGTACGGTTCACACTACATGTTCAAAAAGAATCTTCTTATACCAAACAAAGCCCACAATGCAAGAACTATAAAAAATAAATTGATGTAATGGTAAGACTTATGGTAAGCAATCTATCTGTTATCTTACTTTTTTTCACCAACAAGTTAAAATATTTCCACAACGCTTTCCATTGGAAATCCAACCAGAAAAAAATGGAGATGTTGGAAAAAATGATCTGATCATCTGATTGATTTTGAGTGGTTGCAATATCATGATGTTATTTTGTTGTATTTTTCCTTTACTTTATTCGTCTTTTTTGTCCTCTCACCGAGCAAGTGTCCTGCATTCAACCCTCAAGATTTAATTGAATCATAACTATCACCCTGTGTGTACAAAAAGCGCGTAAATCTGAGAACCTTTCCCTTACAACTTAGTGATTGAATATTTCTTTTGAGTATGTTATTTGAACTGTTAGATATGACTTGTGATTGATTTGTGATAACAATCAGTAACGAGCACTTGGATGATTTTTCTGACAAACTTCCTGTGAAAATTGTAAATGCTTCAGCTATAGCAACTCTTGATTTCAATCGAATTGCAGAAGAGGATGAAGCAGTGGTTTCAAAGAGCGACGAAGTCATCTTCATCATGATTAAACTAAAGGTATTTGATTGAATTGATTTCTGAATGATCAAAGACAGAAAAGACATGTGTTGCAGTATGGATTTTGGTTTTCGCAATAAAGTAACTAGGTTTAGGGAGTTTTTGAAACATTTACATCTACTCAATTTTTCAAGCAACACAAAAAAGTTTCATCACGTCGTAATGAAGTTGGCATTTGTACAAATTATAAACCGATATTGGAGCGATACAATTTTGTTTGTGCTTATGTCGTTTTAACTGTAGGATGCAGATTTAAAAATCCTGTTCAACGGTTTTCAACTTAGCAGCATCAATTTGCTATGACATCAGCGCGAAGCGCAATTTGCGGAGCGAGGAGAGATCCTTGTCCGACGTTGCAAAAGTGGCGAGAATCGACGCAAATTCGTTAAGGAAAAAAGGACAAGATGAGGATGGGAATCTGGAGGGCCAATTGTATGTTGCAGACATTGAAGATTAATTTAAATGGTCTTCCCCTTTGGATGGGACGTTAATCTATCGGATATAATCAGTCGTAGACGAGAGATTTGAATAGCCTTGTGCTGAATACCTTTCTAACATTCATTCTCACTGAGATGATTAGGCGGATCGAGGCTGTTGAACAAATACTCACTTCGGAGTGCGAGCCATCGAAGAATGGGAGTTGGCAAGGCATCACCTCAAAATTGGAACAAGATACAGTATCAGACCATAACGATAGGTTACTTGTATAGCATCTCAAGAAGTAACTGAAGGGGCTGTTGTAACTGAAATTCCGCGTAACTTCCGCCTCCGAATAGTCCAATCCTTATTCTCGCCAAATGATTTTTCTAAATATTCTCTCTCTTCATCCCCAAAACCGTCAATTATTCTATTCAGCTTCTTTACCAATTCATTAACCGGTGCTATGTCTCTGTTATCTGCTTTCAACCCATAACTTATATACTTATCCACATAAACGTCTCCTTTCAAGTACTTTGGTGACACTGCAGTGATATTGTGTGTGTCTTAGGCAGTGATTTTACCTTTTGAAAATGAACGAGTTGATATACCGATGGAAAGACAATTCCGTAGTATAATGTGGCTTCAAACTGGTATGGGGTGCAACTTACAAAATCAGCACATCGTTATTCTGCTGAATAAAATATATTATATTGGTAAATATTCCTCACGCAATTCACATATACAACACATATATTAGGTAGAGATCTAATGAGCCGAAACATTGCAATTTAGGGCGAAATTGCGAAATAATAAATGGTGGTAACCAATTCATGGATTTTATGTAAATGTAGAAAAGATGAAATCAAGAAACTTGTGAATGATGATGACAACATATTAAGTATATAAGTAAAACAAGCCCAAGCACCATGTTTCGAAAACTTCCAAATAGGTGTAAAATTTGTAAAAAAATACTCGTGGCATTACATCCAACATTTTATTTCGAATGTTTTCAAAGACTTTTGGATTTTTTTAAGCCTTTTTTCATAGTTCAAATACATATAATTTTTTTTTTATTTTATTTAAAACATTTATAAATTCTGTTATAATTACTTTACTTTTGTCCCGTTAAATAAAGTTTATGACCCAGTTTTTGCCTGTTTTTTTAACTTTTTATGTTGACGCTGTGGTTTTGTATATTCCCGCTATATTTCAACAATTCACAATTAATGTGCTTCCGTAGGGTTTGAATTTGTGTGGAGTCTTATAAATTTCGAAACCTCCCTCTCATGCTCCACTTTGTTTTGCTTTGTGTTTTTTATCAAGTATTAACATTATAAGTGTAACAAATTACACGTAATTAAAAAAAAATGATAAATTTATACGCACAATTTATTTCAGGAAAAATCGTTTGATTTATTTAATAAACTTTTACGCTTTGGTTGGCGAACTTTATTATCATAAATTAGAGGAATTTGTATTCAACTAAAAGATGGATAACATAAAACTTTTCCTTATTCATCGTTTATCTCTTGTTGAAAAAAACATAATTTATAAGCAAGAGTTCGTGTGATTAATGCCCAAGTAATGAACCTAATTAATTCCTAATTAAGGAGCGGTTGCGTTGCGGTCGATTCTTGGTATAGGGTGGGGATTTTCCGGTCTAAAATCTGATCTCGGCATATTTCGTCCTTTTCCAATTCACTTTAATTCTTACACTTTTAAAATTTAATTATAATAAATTAATTGGCTTACCAATGTCTTAACACTTTCACACGAAACGAAATTCTGAAAGAAAAGAAAATATTTTAATTAATACATTTTCAAAATATCGATCTGATAGATATATGCCTGGAAATGGCTTTACTTTGTTTTGGTATTCCAAAGCTGGAGAACAATTTGGAGGCATCGTCAATTTATCGCACGTTTTCGGACAGGCACCGGTCCCGGCAATTTTTCAGCGGCATAGAAACACCGAAACAATACATTATCAAAATTGGAAAGCGAAACGTTATAAATTTCGCGCACGTGTTCGGTAATTCCGTGCGTAAATCAAATTTATAACTCTCGAAAATCTCGACCCAACACGGAAATGGAAATTTCAAAAGTTTACAAATACCTTCCTAGCTCTATATATGAAAATATTTATCTTTCAAAACTTATTATTCCTATGGAAATGTAAAAGAAGAAATTATTCGGATTATTCCTTTTCTTGTTATTCTAAGTAAATTGTTATCCTGGAGTTTATTTAAAATTTTACTTCCCAAGATTTGCATCCAGCTGGATGAACAAAACGCAGTTCTTACAAAAATAGAAAATGAAAAACTTTAATGGGAAGGAGGTGAAACGAAGGGAAGCTTAAAAGAGCAATATCTTAAAACCATAGCCGGGGAACGGTAGACGCAAACAGTTTCCTTTAATACACACTTGCCTTCCATTTTCGTTCAACCGTTCGCGCATACAAATTACAAAATCCGCTGCGGCTTTCCAAAGTTTAGAAGTGAACGGCGACGGCGCGTACACGCCCGCAAAACTGATTTACTGCCGCATAAAGCATCAAATTACGAGACGGACATAAAACATCTTACGCCGAGAAGCACTAACCTCGGCTCTCTTGCCGCAACCGCGGTCGCCTTTTTAATAAAAAGGCCCCCGAGCGCGCTGCACTTTGCATAAATATAAAATGTTATATTTGTGGCGAGATAACGTGTATCTGAAATGAGAATTCGTTCACGGTTATGGAAATGTAAATTTACGATTGGCAGTACATAGAGAGGTGGTGATATCATCCTCGTTACTAACTCCAACGTTTTCTTGAAAAACGAAATCTTTCAATTTATGCCAAGAAAACGATCTTGAAAGATAATCATGAAAAATAAAAGATGTAACATTTGAGAAATTCTAGAAGTTGTTTTGACTTGCCCTTTATATATTGGTGGGTATAAGAATATAAATATGGAAAGCAAATCCAATTAATTTGAACGTCAATAAACAAATATTCCTGAATATCGATTTATTTTCATATGAAATAAGTAATTTGTCATCGTTTGCTGCGGCAAAATGTAAATACCATCAATTTCCAGAAAATCGCTTTTTTAGTATCCAAATTGGTATTCACTGTACAAATTTGCATATATGTATAGGTGGAAGCTGTTGATATTAGCAACCCTTATGCATAATGAAAAGAAATATTTATTTTTCAGAAATATGCGAAGTTCTCATACTGTTTATTTTTAAAATATGAAAAGATTTTAATATAATGAAAAAAAAAACATTATGGCCACCTGTTCAATTTCCAGATTTGGTGACAATAGGCATGCTAATGAAGTTTGCGTTTATGTAAATTCCCATAGAGTACAATCCTATCTGCATAATGATTATACAATCAATTATGTAAATACAGCAAACGGTCTGTACTAAATCGAGACGGTTGAGAAATAATTGTATTTAAATAATGAAAAGGGTTTTTAGTCAAATTATGATTTTGAGTGTGGATTTAATTTCTTTGTACGAATATTAATGACAATTTTGTCGACGTGTTTTCATTGTGTAGAATTTGGGTTATTTTGAAGGGGCGTCAAAATGTGTTTGCACTTTAAATTCGTCTCTATGGATCGGTACTAAAATGAACGTGGAAGAATATGAATACTTCTCGGCCTTAAAAAAAATGGTATTTAAAAAATTAGTTTAATAGCCATTCATCCCTCCATCATATTATCTGACATACTTGCTATATAGAAAATATAATTTTTATTGTATATAAACAGGTACTGTTATTGTAATACCGATTATAGAAGACACAATAACACGACTAGTTTAGTTTTCGATATCCGATTTCGATTAAATTTGCTTAATTTGCAATATACACATAAGAGATGATTCTACAAGAAGCAATAACACCACAAATTTAGCTACCTGTACTGTGTGTTTATCAAAATTTCGTTCTCCACTAAATAACGATACATTAAACTGACCTGGTGAATATACTCTCTAGCAAAGAAATCACATTTACAAAATTTAGTTCCCCCGACTAATTGGAAGTTTGTAATAACTTACACCATGATATGTAGCAATGTTGGTACTGTTGACACAGTATTAGTTTCACAACACAACACTGAAATATAGTACTGAAAGAAAAACATAACTGTACATAATAGTACATGAAATGTTAGTAGAACTGACCTGGAGTCTCCTTGATGCCATTTTATTATTCAGGTGAAAAGCGTTGACCACTATCTTTTTTAGTTTAGATGTTCTCCACTTACAAAGGTAGTCCTCCATAGCTATCAGGTTATTAGGGAGGATATCTCAAGTCTTCAGTTGTCTCAATCATACGCTATAGCACCAAGATTTCTTCAAATACTTGTTTGTATATCATCTAGAGAACACATCTGCGAAAATTCGAACTCGTAATAACATCATACAAAAACTTTCCGGGATTATATGAAGTACCGCAGCAACTACACTGCGATGTTTTGCCCTGTCACTGGTTTATTCTGCTGTAGAATATTGTGCGCCGGTATGGATAAACATTCCAATACTCACAAAATCGACACACAACTGATTTTAAGTATGAGAAGAGTATCAGGATGTCTTAAATCCACTCCTCTTTACTGGTTCCCAACGCTTAGAAACATTCCCCGTCAAACTTGCGAAGGAAGAATGCTCTCCAAAACAGTTTAAGAAAATGAAAGACAAAACACACTGCTGCCGATCTCGACACCATTAATTATTGCTGAGGAACTAGCTAGAAACAACTATAACATCAACTCTGTGCGGGAAAAAGACTGGAACGCCAAAGAAGCACCAGGAATAAAACGACAGATCCTCCCCAACCAAAAATCAAAAGGATTTTTACTTCCCCCCACCCATGGAAGGGTCTCTGCAGAGCTCGAGACATGGTGTCTGTGGTAATAGCCTCCAGAAATATGGAATACTGCCATCATGTCGTGTGTGTGCTGTGCTCCAAAAGAATCTATACAGTGCATTGTTGAGGACTGTCCTATTAGATCTTATCCTAATGCTGCGAGGAACTTCTTTGATACTAAACCTGCAGCTCTTGAATGGCTAGACGAATTCAATATAAAATTTTAGATTTTGGTTGTGCTTCCTATAGACTGTTATGTATTTGTATATTTTATGTTAACCAAATATTACTCAATTAGTGTTGACTCTATTCCAGACCTATCTAGATCAATTAATCTTTATGATTTGTTATGTTAAATTTATACTAATCAAGGGACATAAATCGAAATATTTGGCAAGAAATGATATTAACTTTAAAAATTGCATCGAGACTTTGCGTTAAATATGACAGGTCACTATTCTGGCTTATAAACAAGATTGTAGTAAATATGTACCATTTACGGCACATTCAGTAAAATTAGTTGGTGTGCACGCAGGTAAATGTAATATAGAATCGACTGATTTCTTCCAATTTATTCAAAAAATGTATGAAATTTGTATTTTGAAAGAATTTTTAGAGACAGATAAACAGATTTTTAAATGTCTTTCAGAGACTAGATGGTCAGCTCGATATACAATAAACTCTTTGTATTGCGGCTACAAAAACATCCTTAGTGGTTTAAAATCAAGTGAAACTGAATGACAATATGTCAGAAAATAGTTTTTAAATATAAAATTAAACACTGTAGAAGGGAATGATCTTAATAAAAATTGTTCATAATACATATATAAGCAAGATATAATCCGCAAACAATTCCTTTCCAAATATTTCGTATTGTTAGTTGTAACCCATAAAATTTCCAAATTTTCAATCTGACGTTTTCGTATATAAATTTCTCTTATAACCAGAAAACTAGAAATACTACAAAAAATGTGTAAACATTTTTGTGTAAACATTATCAGTAAACACAGTAATATGGATTTAAAATCCATACTATTTCAAATTTAACACATTTAACAAACAAGGTTTTTTAAAAAAAATTTAAAATTTTAAATGAAAGTGATATTAATAAAAATTGTTCATAACAGATCACCAAAATATAATCCATAAACGATTTCGTTCTAATTATGTTGCATCGCTAGTAATAAGTCATAAAATTCTAAATTAATAAGTTCACGTGTTTGCATAATAATTTTTAATATAATTCCAAAACTAATTAACTGCAGTGGCCTGCAACTTTGTCACAATTTGTTGATAAAATAACAACATTTGCACAACGCCCATCGATAGAGTATTAATATTTAATAAAGCGCAGCAATATCAATATGGGTATATGTTTAGAATAATACACCACTTTCGGGAATGTAATTTAATGGAATTAATTATTGTAATTGAAGTTTTATAGCTGAATGTTAATTATGATTATTAAGGCAAATTTATATGAAAAACAAACGATAGAGGTTTAGGTTATGTCCCACGTTCAATATTTTCTTTTTATGTACTTCGAATATGTGAGAAGATGTGTGAAGGAACATATATTGTAGAGAATGTATCAAAAACTACCCAAAAATTGTCGAAAAATTACAAGAAATATACAAAGTATACAATGATTTTTTCGAAGAAGAATGTAAAGGGTCCTAAAATTCGAACAACACTATAATAGTTTAGAGTTAAAGATCACTAAAAATAGATTGCGGAAGAACAAGTTGTTGTTCGCAATTTTCGTACAAAATAAATATGGTATCGCTATTCGGTTTAACATCTCCATATCTGAAGTGATTAATTAATAAATTAAGGTAGATCGAATCAATTAGTAAGGGAAGGTACTTTCATCAAGTCGTTTGATACAAAACATTGAAACAATTAGTGGGAGTATTGCTAA